CTGTAACCTCCGGACGACTGCCAGCAGTCAGCTGTGGACACATGAGCATATATTTAAGGTCCAAATGAAAAATGCAAACTTACCAAAGCAGGCCCAAATGATTGCTTCTTGGGGGAACCGGGTGACCGAGGTGACTGGGGCTTCCTTACCACAATGGTGCGCTGGGGAAGGACGACCTCCGGCACTCCACACAAAATCGGCTGCAACAAATTGAGAGCATGTCACAAATCAGCCAGAACACATACCTGAACAATTGGGTCTTCATCATCTTCCGACTCCACAAACGGCTTCGACTTGGGGAGTTGAGTTGACTTGACACGCTTGCGAGCCCTCAGCGCCGACTTTGGAGGTTGGGAGGAGTGTCCAGAAATCATTGGAGACTTCCTCTTGTTGCTCCCCCCAACTTCCGGCGACAGGTCGACGGAGGTGGCCTTACCTTTTCCTTTGTCCCGGACCTCAGGGGTCGTATTGCCGGAAGGTCCGGCAATGACCGGAGGTGAGGGAATGACGGAGGTGGGGGAAGGGACAGGTGCAGGTGAAGGGACAGGTGGAGATGGAAGGTTGACAGTGAGTGGGCCAGTGGAAATGTTAGGGACAACAGGGAGATCACAGGAATTGTCACCCAACGCCTCCCAGGCACGGACTTGCTTGCGCCAGGCATGTCTAGCCACCCTGGGGGTCATCATGGCCAATGCTGTGCCAGTTGGGCAATGCCCAGGGAGTCATGGAATGCACCCTCATCAGCTCCTTAGAGCAGGACGCCACAATTCCAGGGATGTATTCCCCTTTCTCATGGGCCCGGATGATGTCAGCCTACCTGGACATTACAAACATTAATGTTACACTAATTTAATAAGTTCAACATACCAAAAGAGTGGTGACCTGCTTTGTTAGAACAAGGTGGATGTCCACTGAGCCGGCCGGGATGTGCCGGGCGCTGGCAATGATGCCCACAAGTTGAGCAGTGGATGCCTTGAGGTTGGCCAATGAAGATTGAACTTGAGTAGACATTTGGATGGAGTTGACAGATGTGTGAATGTTGAAAGCAGGGTGAAATCTGTTATCAATAGAATGAAGTTTCAAAGAAACAATACAATTGAAGGATGATGTTGAAAATTCGTTGATTGTTTGTGTTTGTTTGGTCATCGTTCAACTTTCAGCAATCGCCAGCCATGTGTTGAACTTCGACGTTATCAGTTATCAATCAGTTCATCAGTGCATCAGCTCATCAGATATCATGAGCTCTCAACCTGGGGTCAGATTTCATGACCCTCCGGTCACTGAATTTACTTCAATGGATGTGGATGAGTCCTCCCAGTCCCGGATGTCCCTTGGTATGTTTTGTTTTTTCTGATTTCAGTCAATTGATCTGACATGGTTCAGATCCATTAGATGATATATACCTTGGGCCGGATGATGAGTTAGACTCTGATTCTGGGTGGTCTGGTGGTTTGGATGTGTTGAATGTGATTCCCGGTATGTTTTCCAATTCAAATGTACATATTTTACATGTGCAAATTCATCACATACTTCCAGATCCATCATCTCCGGCTCTGGCGGATGGACTGGCCCTGTACGATGACCCGGACTTGTATCTTGGTCCGGAGGATACCTTGATTTCATCTGATGATGCTCCAGTTGTACCCGATTTTCCTATGGCTGGTGAGATTACTCTTTTCATCCCATGGTCACCTTTCATGGCATTTCCCCAGTGAATGAATCAACTCCAGAGCCTCATCCGGCCACTCCGGGTGTACCAGGGGCACCCATACCTTGTACGTATATTCATATCATTTCATGTGTTTTACTGATGCTATCTCCTAAGCTATGTCAGAAACTCCTGAACATCAATCGCCCGAGCTGGAACTCAACAATGAAGCGCTGTGTGCCATGGTTCAGGAGTTCATGCCAACCGGATCTTATGATCAAGCTGAAAGTAAGTATGCAACAGTTGATTATTTATCTCTGCTAATATCCTGCAAGTTCAATCAATTGTAGATCGCCTGGGAGATTATCAACAGCGTCATGGAAATCTTCCTGCCCCTACAGTAGCCCAAATTCTTGAGGCTGACAGACCATTCAGGATGGCATGGGCTGAAACATGCAACAAGCTGCGGAAAGCAGATGCTGACCTCCGGAGGATGCAAAGGGTAAGGGAGTCAACCTCTGAAATGCTGAAGGTATTAGATACCCTCATTGAGGCCTTTGAGGACTCAAGTAACATGTAAATATTGATCAATGTCTGATAGTAGACACATTGCAGTACTACTCGGTAGGTAGTCCTTGGTACTTGTATACTCTACCTACCCAGTACTCGCTGCCAGGTTTTCTGTGCTCGGTACTTGGGGCTCGGTAGTTGGGGCTCAGCAGTCGGGGCTCGGTAGTTGGTGCTTGGTACTCAGGGCTCGGTACTCAGGTGTTTGGTACTCGGTGTTTGGTACTCGGTGTTCAGTACTCGGGCCTTGGTACTCGGGGCTCGGTACTCGGTGTTTGGTACTCAGTGTTCAGTACTCGGTGTTCGGTACTCGGTGTTCGGTACTCGGTGTTCGGTACTCGGTGTTCGGTACTCAGTGTTCAGTACTCGGGCCTTGGTACTCGGTGCCCGGTGTTTGGGCTTCGGTACTCGGGGTTCGGTACTCGTGCCTTGGTACTCGAGATTTGGCATTTGGCATTTACAATTTGGTTGTTAGTACTTTGACATATACATAATAGCACATATGACATTACACATGAGGGCAGGAAGATATATGTACATTAAGTGCGTCCCCATGCTCTGGTTACTCTAGGTGTACTGTCTACTGGCATTTGCAACTTACTCCGGGTCGTCCTCGTGGATGGTTCAACAGTGACTCGAGTGCCCTGCCTCCTTTTCTGTGCCGGTGGCGTGATACTCTCTTCCATTTTAACATCATCCCTAACCTCGCCCGTCGCGTCGTCAGTTAACCCAGCAAGGAGGTCTCCCATTCGTGATGTCAGTAATGCACCTTTTGTGGCCGGCTTGGCCGGGCGAGGCTTTGGAATTGGACGTAGGACTGCCGGCCCTCTGGGTGTAGGACCTCCTGTCCTGGGCTTCTTCAGCAGAGGTCTCCCGTCAGCCAGGTCATCATCCACATTATGCTCCATATGATGAGTGGCACTCTCCTTATCACTCTCGGCTTCTGTCGATGACTCCCAAGGCCTTCAGATGGTAACCCTCTGTTGCCTTCTCACTATACGAGTCTGAGGAGAGGGCGAGTTGCCAGATATGACAGATGGTACCATGTCCCCATCTTTGTTCTTCCATGCTTTGAACAGAAATGTGGGCCCTTCGCCTGTTTCCTGCCGAGCGAGCCAGAACTGGAGCAAGGTAGTGGTGTCCCAAATTTGCAGCTTCAAAGGTTCCTTCAAGTCAACATCTGCCGGAAGATATGTCCGTGCCACGAAGTCATCCTGACTTTGTACAATGGCACTCCATGGCACAACCACCTTGTCCTTCCCGGAGCATATCCCTTTGTCCGTGCATTGAACAATTTGTCAGGTGATGCGACGACAAACTCATGATAGTGCGATGTAAGAAAGGCCCTCCTCACTATGGCCTTCTTCTCCTCAAGTTTGGTGTCGGTGATGTCTGGAAGGAGTGGCATACCCTCCCCGTCCATTTCGAGTTCGAAGGCTGGTTTTCGAATTCGTTTTCGACCTCCCTTGACCTGAAGTCCTCCATCCCGTGCCCCGGCGCCTATCATTGTGATGCTCAACATGTTCAATCTGGTATACATGGTTCACACACTCACCGAACTGTTCCTGCGCGTACTCCTGCCACACTGGCTCAATGTCCTCCCAGTCCTTCGTCTTCATGAAGCTGTCCCCATCTCCTAAGGCCTCATTATCATCATGCCTGCATGAATATTTTGAGACGAAAAATCTCCGTCGATGGATAATGTACTCACATCCCGAACAGCACCTCGCCCTTTTCATTCTTCCAAGCCGACATCACAAACACTCTCATCCCACATTGCCTCCACATCTCGTTCGAAAAGTGCTCCATATATGCCAGACTTGTGCTTGTATCTCCGGAGGCGGACAGTTGTTGGACCACTCTTCGGCTGTTTCTTTAGCCTTCTCCAACTCGTCGTCATCCAATTCAGCCATGACTCTCTTCACCGCCGCCTGATAATGTTTGAACATACCAGGATCTCCTGGCTTTACCCCAGACTCGTCCTCAATCCTCTTCAGCACCTCTTCGCGTTTCTGCTGGTAGACCACCATCCTGGGAGTCCATTTCCTCCCATACTTGATCATGTCCTTCCTTTCCTTCTTTTTCTTGTTGTTGAACAACCAAGTCTTGTACACCTAAGAGTTGATGAAAGAATGTGACATTAAAAATTTAGTTTTTCAACACAACAAAGAAGCCTCACCTGCTTCCTCTTTTTCCATTGTTTTTGGTCCAACTTAGGAGCAAACAACCTGGCCGCCCTTGCTATGGCAGTGAAAATCGCTTGCTTCTCACTCCTTTTGGCAGCAGTCCACTCAGGAAGGTAGTTCTTCAACTCCAAAATCTCCTTGTCCGTGAGCTTCTGAGACTGTGGTTGACGCATCCTGTGTCTTCCGGAAGTCGTGTTGGTAGAATGACCTGTTCTTGCCATAGTGAATCAGAATGCAGAAATGGCTAAGGATTTGCAAGGTGGAAGTATTAATGAATTGTGCGAAGTTGAACTTTAAGCAAAGCCTAATGATAGGTTAATCGGCCCATATTGGACCCTGAGCCATTAATGGAAATGAATTTGTAATGAGCCAACAGGACTGCACCGCATCATATTGCAATAACAATTCATTACACCTGAGCTGATGCCTTGCTTGCAACATTAATAAACAAGATGAAGATAGGTAGATGCACCCCAGTGCAAAAATCTCACAGGGTGGAAGCAAGGGGCAGCAAAGGTAGGAAGACACGGCTCAATCTGATCTCCCCTGCTGCTCGGGGAATGTCATCTCCCCACCGAAAGGAATGCCTTGATTATCAGATGAATGACTCCAATTTCTGCAAGATGATTTGCATGAAAAGGACTCTATGCTGGAAATACAAACTGGCTAGGAATGGTATCTTAGAAAGTGGAAAGGCATTCAACAGACTCGATGAAGCAGCACCCTCACATTTGAAGACAGAATGGTTAGCCAGGGAGAGGATAGCTCAGTCAAGCAGATTGAATGATCCTTCAGCCATGGATGAATATGAGATTAATATCAAAAAGGGTATGTTGAGTTCCATTGTCTCCATTGAGGTCTGAATTAATATTGCACTCAGCACCTAGCAAAAAGGAGATCAAGCTTAGATTGTTAGAGGAGGGTAACGCCCGCAATGCAGCACCCTCTTGCAGATCTGTGGCGACATGGATATCAACAGGGTTAGCAATTGAAGAGGCTCAGATTGCATTGCTCATCGAGGTCCGAAGGATCGGAAGAAGATCCACCGAGACACAGAGATTAGACATGCCTGTCAACGAGATCGGCTCCAAGGCCAGATAGATGGATTTGCTTGGTCTGCTCTAACACATCTCGGGGAGGGATTTGATGCAGATGATGAACCTGAGGACTTGGACGTAGATATTCTAGATGATCTCGATGATGACCCAACGGATTTCACAGAGACATCTCATACATGGACAAACTCTCCCGAGCTCACTGTAATCCCATTGCCATCAAACCTGGGGGTTGATAGATGCAGACGATGCATGGCAGAGGATCTGATTCCCCTGGAGATGTTGTTTCGTGAAGGGCAGGCCAATGATGCCCTTCACAATCTCCGCATTTACCTTTGCAACAAGGCCATCCTGTTCTGAACAACCGTTAGGCAGGCCAAATCCCAGGCCCTGAAAACTCGAGCTTGGTCCCAGGTGACGTCGGTGCAGCAGGCAGTCTCCCTCCATGCCAGCATATATACAAAGACAAGGAAGCAAATGATGAAACTTGAGCCGGGGCAAGACTAGCTTCAGAAATACAAACCCCTGCTTCGCGAGCAACTCAAAATCAGCACTGCAGTAGGAGACCCAAATGCCTGAGGTCAATGAAATGAATCTTTGGCTTGGTTTTGGTCTGTTGAAGTCGACCTCAGGGGTCCTGATCAATCGTGGAATGAGGAATGTGAGTTCCTGCTTGCATGTCATATCCCGCGGTTACCTGACTGGACCCATGCCAAGTTTACCGAGTCCATTGGCTGAGGGCAAAGGCACTATGGGATCGATGGAGGGAGGAAATGCTATTGGTCAAATTGGAGATGGATTGGACATGTAAGTTCTTTTTGTGGAAAACAACCCAATGGGGCGAGCACATGCAGGAATCATTGGAGAAACACCTTCCAGGTCATGGATGCTACGCCGGAAGGCAATCCCAAATGTATTCATTGCTGGCACAGGATGCGCAGGCAGCTTTTCAAGACCTACAAAATGTGTTGATAGAGGCTGGAGATGAATGAACATTGTTTTCTCATGAAGTCCCTTTTTCCACATACATAATTGAGGCCTGGGAATTGTCCAAGTCAGCCCATGTCGGAGTTTGAATTTCATATCCATCCATCAGTGATTCTTATCTTCACATCTTCACCATCTTTCACTTGTATTGCCAGCACCATAGTCCTGTATTAGCCATGTCTGCATCTCATGCATCCACTTCTGGCACTCTGAATGCCGGAAGCCATTACCGACCGCTGAAGCTGAGCCTTGCAACTATTTCCTGCACATTGGCAATGGCTGGATCTCGCGTCTGTGCATGCATCTCTCAATATCGGACGGAAGCTGCCAACAATGGTCTATCTTCTGACCGGATCAAGTATTTTAAAGCTGGGCTGCAATGGGAGATGAATGTATGTCACCACTGCCCTGATGACTTTGTTGGTCAATGCTAAGAATGTGAGCAGACTTTTGTCACATCACTCCTGCAGTACTCCGCTTCACAGAATATTGTGTCGGTGGTTCCGGTCCCTGTCGCTTATATCCTTAAGTTGTATCCCATGCTAACCTGGAACATGGTTCCGGACGACATCTTTTCATTCCACCTCCTTTCATTTCATGATGAGCCAATTGCAGGACATCCGTCCTGGATTGTGTTTGCATATACATGTCCATGGTGGATGGGAAACACCACAATCCCTGATCAACCATGGCAGTGGGATGAAATAATGGCTTCCTGCATCTCTCACTACCAGTATTGGGCGGTAAGATGTTAGCTGAATTACCTTGATTGATGACTTATCTGTTTCAGCTTAATGTTGAGGATGATGCTTTGGTTCTTCCAGAGAAGTTGAAAAACACTTCGACTCCACCACTCATGGGACTGAGGTTCATCAAAGAACGCATGGAAGCATTGATGGAGGAGCAAGATCAGGGCATCAAAGCCAAGATGGGAGAGGTGAAGATGTACACTGACATGTTAGAGAAATTGAGGAAAGGCAAAGGAGTGTAGTCCCATTCAGTCTTCATTGTATACAAGATGTAACATATTCTATGCATTCAAAAATCTCACATCCAAGTCCCGGGCACCCAGGTCCCGAGTCCCAAATTTCGGAGGTCGGGGTTTGGAGACCCGGAGCTCAGCAACTGTGTTGGGTGTCAGGGTATCCAGACCATTGGAGATAGCATGTGTCAGTATTTTGCGTTTCATGGTTCATGTTGGGTGAATATGGAATCGGGGACCAGGGACTCGGTATTCAGAACAGTGTCAAGTCCCAGGTCACGAGCTCCGAGTCCTGAGTCCCGAGTCCTGAAGTTCAGAGGTCAGGGTTCAGCGACCCGGAGCTCGGCAACTGTGTTGGGTGTCAGGGTACTCGGAGCATTGGAGATAGCATTTGTCAGTATTTTGAGTTTCATGGTTTATGTTTCATGATTATGGAATCGGGCGTCAGGGACTTGGTATTGAGAACAGTGTTGAGTCCCATGTCACGAGCTCCTCCTCCCGAGTCCCGGAAGCCCAGGTCCCGAGTTCCGAGTTTTGGAGGTTGGGGTTCGGTGACCCGGAGCTCGGCAACTGTGTTGGGTGTCAGGGTACTCGGAGCATTGGAGATAGCATTTGTCAGTATTTTGCATTTCATGGTTCATGTTTCTTGGTTAAGGAATTGGGTGTCAGGGACTCGCTATTCAGAACAGTGTTGAGTCCCATGTCATGAGCTCCGAGTCCCGAGTCCCGAAACCCACACCCAGCAGTTGCCGAGCTCCGGGTCGCTGAACCCCGACCTCCGAAATTCGGAACTCGGGACCATGGCAGATCCTTGCTTACTGCTATATTTCCAAGGTTTGACAAGGTTCTCAACCCTGCCCAGTACTGCTCAGGATGCATGACTCTGAGTGCCGCGGACGCGATGGCTGCTGGCCTTGCAATGGCTTTGAGGATATTCTTGCAGGAAGGTCCCTTCAATGATGCAGATACCTCCGGATCTGACACATTCTTTGGGATTGGTGAGTATGACTGCCGGAATCACCATCTCATCAGATCCTACCTCGTGTCCCTGTTGAAACCATGCCAGAGATAGATTGATGCATCTGGGAGTTGGTCCAACATCTTCCGAGCCCTGGTTGAACAATGTTTGATTAGTTCGCCAATTGCCATCAGCCCTTACACTTTTTTCGAGGCTTGGAGCGAGCAAATCAGTGGCCTCCCTGATTTCCTTCTGTAGGTTCCATTAATATTCAATATCCATTGAGTAACAATGTATATCACACACCTGGGTGGTGTCGGTCAGGGCGTCTGGGAGGTACCATCCAATGATGGCACCAGATGCATCGAGAATTGTGGCAGGTTCGTCGACCAACCTTTTGCCTTCATGGCCAGGAGGACACCTCTCAAGCAACCTCGCCTCTCTATGTTCATTATGCCCGGTGTCCTTCGGGGAGATCAATTTGCTATATCTTGCAATATCCATCTGCATCTGAACTGTCATGCAGGAATTTGAATGATAAAACGAATTTTCCGAATCTGCAGGAAGACCCACTGGGATTTTTAGATGCCTTTATGAGTACATCAGCCAAGCGATCACACGCCATCACCAGATCAGTGTCTAGGTTGGGGGAAGGTATGACTGGGCCTCCTCCAGTCTTCTCTGCCTTGAATTTCTGTTCAGTATATTCCCCTGCTTCATAAGTCACAGTCAGGGCCCAAGTGCGCCAGATGTTTATGCTATCAGGAGGGGAAGGGGAAGAACCGTTCATGCTGGATGTCCGGACTTTGGTGTTATAGGGGGTGGAGATAGAGAGGATCAGATAAGGGAGCCTTGGATAATTTTGGCTGTCAAAGATGTATTATTATCCATTGCTCAATGAAATACTACCTGATTGGAAGTGTGCTGGTCATCAGATATTCATTTGTCGACTCCCGGGTCCCGGAACTCGGAAGTCGGTACGGTTGACCCATATTTGGGTGGTCGGAATTTGGCGTCTCATAGGGCAACACAAGCTTCGCACAGCCATGTCAGGAGATCACCTGCTGCTCCAGGAACTCAGTAACTTTGATTTATTACCTCCTCTGAGTACAGTTGACTCACATTTTGGTGGTCGGAACTTGGCTTCTTGTAGGGCAACACAAGCTTCGCACCCTGGATTCCACATTCTGCAAGACAACCTAAGCACCATCAGAGGCCATGTCAAGAGAGCACCTGCTGCTCTCTTCAGAATCATCTCAATTTTGGTTGGCCATTTAACATGGAAAGTATTAACTAAATTATGTGTTGAGTTCCGGGTCCCAGAACTCGGAACTTGGAACTTGGCTTCTCATAGGGCAACACAAGCTTCGCACCCTGGATTCCACATTCTGCAAGACAACCTGTGCACCATCAAAAAGTATTAACTAAATTATGTGTTGAGTTCTGGGTCCCGGAACTCGGTACAGTTGACTCAAATTCTGGTGGTCAGAACTTGGTGTCTCATACCCAGTGAGAACCGGACCTCACCGTATCAATGGAAAACAATAGATATATTTACAAATATTGTCAAAGCTACGCAAATCGTGAATTCAGCATATTATTGAGAAAGTTGATGTGTGTCGTCTCGATCAAAAGAAGCAAACACACAATTTTGTCAATATTGTCTTGCACATTTTTGCAGACATAGGTCAATCAATCAATCGAACACAGCAAAATTCAAATCACTTGTCACTTGTTTGTGTTGTTTTTAACTTGATAAGTGTATGCGACGCGCATCCTTACTTTCAACTACATACTAGTATGATGGCTTCATCCCAGGTTGATCTGGTCCTGGGCCCATGTCTCTTCCTGTGCCTTGTGTTTTGCTGATTATCGATTACTCATGACGCGAGCAACTCTCTGGAAGCTTCATCCACTGTGCAAACACAGCAGATACCACTCCTCAAGACCGTCTCGATCATGGCAATGACACTGTCGACATGAGCACTGAGGACACAGAAACACCTGTATAAGTAACATGTGTGACCATGGTAAGTCGCCAACTCGTGCTTGTATTATGTTCACAGATACTGATGGTATTGTAGACCTCCTTCCCCATAATCAAGAACCCTCTGTAAGTCTTCAAAGACCTTGTTCAAACTGGCACTGACTTGGGTACATACAGTGCGAAGCTTGCTGAGCGAAAATGTGAATCTACTGTCCCAAATCCTGCAGTGACCCAGTACATCGAAGAACGGAAGGTATGTCATGTGTCGATCTAGAACACTGTATCAACCTTTGACCTGGAATTTTGGGCTTAGGTCACTCTGCGCACACCGATGGTTGAAGCAGATTGTCGCAAATGGCTCATCAGCCAATTTCAGGATTTACTGGTCTGACCTGATGAAAGAGAAGCAGCTGGTACGTACTCCTATGCTACATGTTTCACATGATTGATTTATGTCTTGCAGGCTTATGATCCCGATGCGCTGAAGCTGGTAATGAACTCAACTAAATGCGCACTCATCCTGATACAGCTGTTTACATTTTTTTTCTCAGGTCAAGGACAATATATGGAACGGCAATACAGTCGACATCATCAACAAGATCTCTTCTGGCAGCCTATACTAGTTGGCATCCACCATGGGTGCAGCGGTTGACATCAGGTGGGTTGCTGGCGAGGACCAGGTGGACAGACTGCAGCAGGTAGTATAGTTATGTATATTTCATTTTTGCGGTGTCATTCATTTGTTCTCGCAATGTATATTAGCGTCGTTTTCATGCGATTTCTGTAGTTTCATTGTGCAATACGACTACATTTAAGAATCTACGATAGTCAACAGAAATATCATATGCGAGAATCAGTGTGAAATCGTGAGATCTCCGTCGAACAGCATTGCTAGAAAATCGACTATAAGTCCCATTCTCTACGCTCATCTACGGAAATCTTATGTCTGTGGCTCATCAATATTTCGGCCGTTTTCTGTCGATACGGTGAGGTCCGGTTCTCACTGGGTCTCATAGGGCAACACAAGCTTTGCACTGCCATGTCAGGAGATCACCTGATGCTCCGGGAACTTGGTAACTTTGATTTATTACCTCCTCTGATTTGGTTGATGTACAACTACCTCAGCTCCATCATGTCTACAATTATGATACACATGGGCCCACCCATCTATCTATATTTTATACCACCCTCGGCCCACCCGTCTAATTTAATATGTGTCTGGGCCCACCCGTGAATGTGATAACAAGTACCTACCCATCTCTCTCATACACATCTACCTTAATACACCCATCTGCATAATATCCAACTACCTCGGCCCACCCGTCTACCTAATATTCATGTACATCGGCCCACTCATCTACTCTATATATTCCCTGCATGGGCCCACCTGCCTCCATCGGGAATAATTTGCCTCCCTGCTCATCCGTCATAGTCAAGGATATTTTTATCATGGGCCCATGGTCCGCTGGCCCATATCATACGGGATATTATGCACGTCCATTCCCTCGTATTATACGGAGATAGGTCACTGTAATATGTTGGCACAGAAGAAGGCAGCAAGGGGCAAGAGGACTAAGGTTCCTGTCGACGATGCTGATATTCGCTGTTCTTCCCGCAATGTTAGTACTGTGAAATGATCGTTGTTGAGTCTTCCTACTACAAATCTAGCCATCTTATGTATCAGTCGAGTTTTTTCAGTAGTAAACAATTTGTTGGTGACATATGTGCCTTCTGAATCACTCCTGCCCTCACCCTCACCCAAAGATTGGTGCGCTAGGGCTGTGTGTATCAATATCTCTATTAAAATGTAATATAAATGACTTGATCATGTGATTGCAATGCTTACCAATGATGACATTAGCATGACGACTATTTTTTCCCTCTTCTAATTCTGACTTATACCACCCACTGGCAGCATCAAATGTCGATGCTCAACACTTATTAGATTCCAGCCTGCTGGTCCATCAAATTATATCTGTGAGCTCTCAGTGTTACAAGTAACATCGGCTACATGGCCCCCCTATCATTTTTCCCCTTCGTCCTCGCCCTCGTATGCCTCCGGCTCGTACTTCTCTACCAACTATCTGTTGACCGGATCCTCGGGACCGTTCCCGTCCCTCATCCCCCTCCTATCGCACCAACGTGCGCACGTGCCTTTGGGCTATGACTCGTTCTGACTCGTGCCACCAATGTGGCTTTCCTTATCTTGTCTTATCTTTCCTCTGACTCATGCGTGCTGTGCATTGTATCATCTACCGTTGGCTCGTTCCAACGTTTCTCGGTCTCATTCCGCATTCGACCTCACATCACTAATCAGGCTCTGCTACCAGTGTACCTATACCCTTTCCGTTTCCCCTTTGCCCTTACCTACAGTACGGTAGCCTTGCCCTTAACCCTTTCCACTTAGTATAAGTAGTCGGTCACTCTGTACTAGATTCCCTAACTTGAATCTACTCAATCTTCCCTCGAACATACTTCCCTCTGAAGCCCCCTCAGCTTCAGTCTCTAGTATCTTTTCTTAGGTGCTCATCGCGCCTAAGTCTACCTCGATCGACTACTCATCGTTCGGACAAGACTGTCCTTACTTTGAGAACATCAGTGACTTTGAAGACATCCGTCTTAGAAGTCACGTGACACGTGCGTCTCTGATATCTGCTGACTCGTCGTCACCGGTCTCAGTCGCTACACCGGACCCTTCCGGTTACGTCACAAACGTTAGCGGACGACGCCCCTCTTAGGGCTCCACATAACAGATCTATTTGAGTGCGTAACAGATAGTAGGATATTGAATTGAATGATGCTAAGGAATATTTATGTCAACTTGTAAGGCATAGGGATTCGAAAAAAAACACTCATGCCCCACCAAGCTACTACGTTCTTGATATCCTCTAGCGGGAAAGCCAGGTAGTCCTCGAGCTCTTGACAAGGCCTTCGGCTTGCAGTGTCACTCACACCATGGGATTTGACAGTGTCACACATCCAGCTGTGGCCATATGAGCCTTGGCATGCAAGAAAGGAAGGAGCCACAACAGCAGGCTCTGCATCCGGCAAGGAATTGTGATGATAGTATCTGTCGAAAACAATCTGCAGGCATCTCATGCCCTTGTCAAAGTTGCAGGGCTCCCATTTGCTCTTCACATACGCAGTCTTATAGTTGGGGTCCAGCACTAGATACAATACATTAGATAGGGCTTTACATTAATCAAAACATGTACTGAGACAAATAAAATAGACATCAGTTTCATCGATCTTGTGGTACCACTTGCGAAGATTGTCAATGCCAGAGTCAATGGCGGTTGCAAAGTCAGCAGACTTCGAAGACCCGGCCATATTTTGCCAGGTTTGTTGGAGGAATTCAAGTACCGGGATCACATGCCATACAGTGGGTTCATGAGTCGCAGAGAATGATTGCTGTGCATTTGCAGGCTCCTGGTAATGCAATAAGTTAATAAAAATTAAACTCATCAATGAAGAAGCACGCACCTGAAGCACATCATGCATCAACTCTAAGTTCTTCCATTCCTCGGCTGAGAGCTTGAATGTGCCATAGGACTTGCCCTGCAGGTTGTGGACTTCGTCGCTATCATCTGCAAGCTGTATAAATCTATTCACACCCTGTCAATAGAGTTAGTAATTGTTTGTAGGGACAGTAGCGGTAAACTAACCTTACACAACTTGAGGGTGCGCTCCAACATGCCAAACAGTGAGGCCCATCGAGTGCGAATCCATTTCAAAAGCTCAAGGTTGGGTTCATTGACCTCTGTGCAACACTTGTGGAAGAAAGTACGGGCTTGGGGAGATTTCTGTACCTAAATAAACAGAGTCAAAGCAAGGCTAATCAGACGAGGCACAAACTTACCTGCCCAACAAACGCAAGGGCTTTGCCCACAGTATCAGCGACATCGAAGTCAGTCACTTCATCATCGTCATCTTCATTGGTCTCGTTCCTGATGAGAACACTTGCAGGGGTAGGCACAACCTCTTCAATGAAATGTTTTGCGGCCAGATGTAGGGCATGCTCCATACAACTGAAAAGACGTTAGCATATAATAGAAAGTGATATAAATATAACCCTTACTGTACACAGTGCTCTCCTGCAACCCATTCCTCACCAGAAGGGTCAATAGTGAGTGCAATGGTCTGAATTGCTGTGTCATTATTGGTGGCGTTGTCGGCCATGAACCATCCAACCTTGGTGTGAAAGTCGTAGTTATTGATAGTTTCAAATAAAATCCTTCCGATATTGCTACCACTATGGTTGCCATTGATGATCGTGAATGTGAGCTGCTCGCTCTTCAACTCCTACTCTGAGGGTATCTCACCCCAACGAAGTTGTAATAGGCAGGACCCTTTTGTTTGGCCAGCTCCACAACTAAACAAAAGTGGTGAATGAACAAAAATGGATTCTGGCCTATCAATATGATGTTAGCTGTAACATGCTTTGAATTCTCAGTTAAAGTTGGTTTCAACTCGCTTGAATCAACTTGCACTTGGTGACACTCATAACGAGGGTTTAAGGCAAGCTGGGCCTCCAGCTGAATGCTCAGAGGACCTGCATAAATTGTAACAGCGCGAAACTGACAGCTCGTACATGAAAGGACAAGACTCGAGAAATATTGTACAGTACCAGTTGCTGAGAACACCATGAAACAACGAGTTGAGCAACCAGATCAAGAAAAGGGAGAGACTTGTCTCGACAAAATCCTATAGGGCTATTTTATTTTATTTTTTAAACAAGGGAGCTGTTGAGTTATCATGTCCTAGACCTGTGTATGAGAAGCTGAAGCAGGAAAGGGTGCTTGTGAATGTATTTCTGGAACTCATCTGAAGACCAACATTTCACTGCCTGTATCAGTGCAGGTGTGATGCCAGTTGCAGCCAGAGCGGTAGTGCCTTCAGCGCGCATCAAGTGTCCCGAAATAGCAGTTCCAAAGAAATGGTGTAAGTACTACATGAACCAGGCTCACGTTGGTGTGGTATCACGTGAGGTAACCCAGATTTGTGGATGATATTGAAACTTGTGATCACAAGCAGACATGTCGGAAATTTCTAAAGGTGCCTTGCAAGGGACCCCTCTTGAGGCCAATTGAGGGGTTGCAAGATCAATGCAAGAACACCCGAAATTTATTGGAAAGGACTTCCAATTGCATCGCAAGTGGCTTACAAGGGGCCGTAAATGAAACTTTTGCAAAAAATCTGTCCTAATCTGTCCCTAAATGAGGTTGCAATCAGCTTGCAAGTGTCAATTGAGTCCCACTTGCAAGATTTTCAGGTCCACTTCCAAGGCACTTCAAATGGGCTCAGTCAATTGAGGGCTTGCAATGCCTTATCAGGCATGCCAAGCAAAAATAACTTTTTCTAACACACATACCAATTCAAAGTGCCAAAGGGTCAAGTCATATGTTGTGCTCAGCCAACAGCAAGATCTGGCAACCCGCTCCCAGGTTGCTGTTCTTTTGATAAGGTAACATATAGGACGTGGAGTTGACATCAATTTGAAGCATGTGGTGCAAGGCCACTTTGTGATAAGATTGATGCTTTAGTGCATCAGGTCACACCAATTCACCGAGGTGCTGGAGAGTCTTGTATCCAGTGACAAGCATAGCAACAAACAAGATGTTGT